CTTTGTATCCTCTGCAGAAAAGTGGCCTCCAGGATTACGGCACAGAGCTATTCCCAGCGCCGCCAATACGCAGCCCTTCCATGGGAGGCTCTGGATGGAGCGATGTGGGTCGTCGACTGGGAAAGTCATCTGCGGGAAAAACCCTGGGGATGAGCAGCTCCCTTGGGAGCCAGGCTTGAGAGGCTGCGGAGGGTGGAAGAGAGGGGGTTTGAGGCGCTGGTGGCACTGGGAGGAGTCTGGGGAAGGTGGGGGGGCGCATCAGGCTCAGCCGTGGAGCACACCCTGCTGGTACCAGCCGTCTGCTGGGCAAAGGGTGGGCTGGGGGCAATGCCAGGGTGGAAGGGACCACTAAGACCATCCAAACACAGCCACAGCGCTGCCACGCCGTGCCGGGAGCCACTGGAGAGGGGCCGTGTGTCTGGGAGAGCACAGATGTGTCTCTCACGGATGAATTTAAGGCTTTTTTTTTCTCTGATTTTTATAAATGGTGAATGGCCGTTAGTGGTTGGAAACAGATGACCAAGCGGCGCGTTGGCTTTTCCATTGCTTGGACTCCTGGAAGATGTGGTGAGCTGTGGTTTACCTGCCAGCTGTGTGGTCCCGGGGCAGAGGCATCTGGCAGAGGTTGCCTGGGCAAATAAACCCTCTGCCCGTAGAAACCAGAGAGCTTGCTGGGGCTGGGCTCCCTCTAGCCACTCTGGATCTTCTAGGTGTTCATTAGGATGGTTTAAAGGACTAAAAAGCCCCAGGGACCGTCTTTGCAGGTTAATTTAGCTATTTGCTGCTAGCAAAAGCCATCTGGATTGTTGTTAGGGGCTGGGGACATGGGGAGGGATGGGGACACCCCACATAGCCCCAGCCCCGCCTGCAGCCAGGCAGAGCCGCGAGCACAGCGTCCCCTCCGCTCACCCACCTTGCACAGATTTAATCTTCTCAGCTCTGCGTTAGCAGGGCTGCATTAGAGAGGCTGCGTGCAGCACACAGGTTACAGCTGCCAGCTTCGTGTCATATTCTGTAAAACTTAAAATTTCCAGAGCCCCGTGCAATCGAATCAGCCCTTGCAACCCCTCCTTAATTGTATCAGTTTATCTGAGCAGCCGCCGAGTATTTAAGAAGAAGGGAGTCTCCTTTCATTCTGATTTTCCTGGTGGGAAACTGAGGCACGGTGTCTCTTGCAGAGTGGGAGAGATTTGGGCTCCTGATGGTGTTTCAGAGGCGATGCCCTAGAGGTGCCCCAGCCCCAGGGAGCTGCCAGCCCAGAGGATCCTGGGACCCAGGGCCACAAATTACCTGAAACTTGGGATCTGCTTACATGGCAAGTTGATCTCACATAGGGCAAAGCACAACTGAGAAAGCGGTAGCTACCCCAGGGGTCCTGCAAGCACCGAGAAATGATGGGAGAAGAGAGAAGATGCGGGACTGGAAGAGGCGGTCGCTGGCTCCCATCACATCTGTGCTGCTTCCCCACTTCGGTTGCTCTTCGGGGTGTCTAAAAGGCCCTTGCACAGCCCCCAAATCTCTGTGGGCAACTGAGGAAAGAGCAGAAAGCACATCTCGAGGAGGATCAGGATGGCCGGACTCATCCCTGCCTCGGCTCAAGCAACAGCCTCATCCTGCACACCGGCGATTTCTGCAGCCAGTTTTCTTGGGGGAACGGGGGCAGAGGGAAGCCCCATGCTGATAATGTACTGGAAGTAAATGAAATTAAATAAGCGAAGCAGCACTCGCAGCTCCTGCCTTCCCCCCTGGGTAATTCAATTCGAGCGCTCGCACTGATGGGATCTCGCCGGGGCTGCCTCTGTCACCCCGCTGGGGCCTGGATTCTTAACGTCTAAATAAAAGTTTCACTCAAGCATTTTTTATGCTCCTGCCAGCGGGATCAGCGAGCTGGCGTTGGGCACATTAATGTAATATTCATACTCGCAGGGTCCCCCCGTGCACCCGGCAGCACCGTCCCATTTTCATATTTATAAATGTCCCATAAAATGACATTCAGATTTGCATTAACGAAAAGGGTCAGGGTGTGGATTCGAGAAGACAATGCGCCTTTTTACGAGGCAGATGCTCAGCATCGCTAGAGAAAAACCTGAGCACGTTTGTGCCGGGCAGGCGCCTTCACCTGTGCACGGAGGAGGGATGCCACGTTGGTGTCCCGGGAGGTGGCAGCGCAGGGGACATTGTGGTCCCTGCTCACAGCTACTCTGCCCACCCGTCTGGGGCTGACGGGCTGCCCGCTGCAAAGCCCCATCCCCAAATTTAAGAGGGTGGCGAGTGCTGTTAGGGACTGAGGGAGTGCAGGGTCCCATCTCCAAGGGTGTCCAGCGCACGGGGAGGGTGCAGGAACTCCTGGGGGTGTTATTCCGCACATCTCCCACGTTGGGAAAAATCTGGTGCTGGCCAGTCTGAACCCTGCAAGAGAATTTCGGTCCTTTTCAGCATCCTCGTTTATTTTCATTATAAGAAAAACAGTAAACCCGATGTTCAGCTCTATTTGCAGGAAGGTCTCGATTTCCCCTCAGCTCCCCGACCGCTTGTGCGGTGAGCTGCTTGTGCTGAAGGTGAAACCCTGCTCCTTTCCATCCTCGTTGAAGCTGCCGTGGTGCATTTCTCCGGAGCAGAGTCAGAATTGAGCTCGTACTGGAGAGAAATGAGTCCTCTCCGTGCGGGAAGGGGCTGTCCGTATCCTCCAGGCACCGCAGAGGTGCAAGCCCACAGCACCCCGGGCTTCCTTTAATCCAAATCACCTCGGACAGCTTTGCCCAAACCAAGGATTTGGGCTGTGAAGGATCCAGTTTCCAGCCAGCAGGGCAGACAGACGTAGGGGATCCTTCCCACCAACCCAAACTTTGTGTGTCTTTGTCGTCCCGAGACCCACTTGCAGAGGATTTATAGCGAGCTCAGAGTCTGCAGCCTATAAAACACAAAAATGAAAATAGCCCGTGAATGAGGGAGGTGATGGGGGGGGATGGATTTGGCCGAGAGCTGGATGTTAGTGAGACACGCCAAGAAAACAGGAGAATCTCCTGTGACCTGGGATTCTGGGAAATTATTCATACTGAAAAGGCTGCCAAGGCTGAGCACTGGGGAGGCGATTAGTGACATTTAGTCATTTTTTATTATGTTTTAGTACAAGGTATGATGGCAGGAGATGGGCAAGAGAGGAGGGGAAGATCTTCTCAGCAGCAATCCATGGCTTGGGGATGTCCTGGCCCTGATGGTTTTGGGGATGAGACGTGGCCATCACCTCGTGTATTGAGTGGCAGAGCCCCTCCACGGCCGCAGGGTCCGGTCGCCAGCCTGGAGTGAGGTGCCATGGTCTGAGTTAGACCAGACATCGGACAAGGGGATCCTGTTTTCCAAGTCCATAAACCTGGCCAGGTCCTGCCTGCTGCCAAAGCCTCCCAGAGAGCCTTGGCTGGGGGCGAAGGGCTGAGCATCAGCCCCTCAGAGGAGCACCAGCCTCAGCCTGCTGAAGGTGGGTCTCTGTAGCTATGTGAATTTGGTCCTGGTTTCCTTGAGGACCTCTGGGAGCCTGCAGCCAGGATTGGGAATAGCTGGTGAGATCGTGATAGACCATGATTTTCACCTCCAGCCACTGGTCTGCCTTCCCAGGCTGCTTCTGCAGAGAAAGGGGCTGAAAACATTGCGCTGAGGGGCTGTGGGGATGGGAAATCCCAACGCTTTCCTCTGCTTTGCTCTCTGTAGGACTGGAGGAGATCACACCGAGGTCTGTGCAAGATACAGGGAACGTTTTGAAGCAAGGATATCTGGAGAAGAGGTCCCGAGGTAAGGCTTGACTAGTACATCGTAAGATAAGCTTTGGGGATGTCACCTCAGAATTACCAAGAATGCAAATTTTCAGCTGAAGAACAAACAGGAAAATGCATCTTTTCTGCAGATTTATCTGTAGGCACATGCAGAACCTTTCAGGCTTTTCTTAGGCACCACACAGACAGGGAGGGCACAGCCTGTATTTATTCTCTTTTGCAGATCATCAAACTGCCCAAAGATTAAAACCCAGAAATTGAATTAAGCAGCAGCCCAGTCCTCTAAGGCAAGATGTGCCCTTCTAACGAGCAATACCTAATGAGGATAAAATCCCGGTGAAGACAAGGTAGTTCGTAGCATCACACACATTAGCAAGTTGAGATAAGGACTGTGAGTCAGCCTCAGGTTTATCTTGATTTTACTGACTCTTGTGAAAGCTACAAATTATTTCCTCATCACTCAGATTTTATCTTGATTTATTTACTGTATGACAGGTGGTATGAGGCAAGAACAGCCCTTTTTTCCTCATGGCCGTCAGCTGAGCTGTATAACAGGCCCTGTGCATGTTTTAGCTTGCTCCAATTACAGAGTAAAAGACATTTGCTTAAACTTCCATTAGGGAGGTTTAACCCAAAGCTGTGTTTCCTCCCATTTAGCAGGACTAGGGGTCATAGAAGCTCGGCTCGGCTGAGCCAAGCCTGCCTGGATTGCTGGGGAAGGCTTGCAGGGGCTCCAGCCTGGTAGGACAGGTTGGCTTTCCCTTACTTGGTTGTGGTTTTGTAGCTAAATTTGCTTGCCTCAATTTTGTGCCAGAAATCCCCAGGGTTTTGTTAGGACAAAAAAATCTTCTTTCCCCTAGATATTCATCTGAAGCATACAGTGAAAGAACAGAAATGAGTAATTTTTTTTACCCTTTTGCTGTCCTTTTCTCCCTAGAGCACAGCTTTTTTGGGTCAGAGTGGCAGAAGCGGTGGTGTGTCCTCAACAGGAAGACCTTCTACTACTATGCTAATGAGAAAAGTAAGTGGTGAGACATCGGCCTCTGGTCCCCAACCTGTGGGTGGTGGCTGAGGGCTGGAAAAGAGAAGGGGAGAGCCCTCGCTGAAGGATAGGCTGATACCTGACAAGAGAAAAGCGTGTACCATGGGAAGGCTGTTATTCCCTACGAAGGCATAACACGCAGGTTCGAGAAAGGCAGATCTCGGCTTGCTTCCCCCTACCCCCAAACACCTTTATAGGGGTGGAACAAGAGAAAAGAGACACAGGAACAGAGCTGTGTGTAAATAAAATGGTGTACTGAGTTTTCCATTAGCCATCAGCTGGGCTTCAACCCCCTAAGAGACAGTATATAATCCATGTGTCAGTGTATATAAATATTTTGCAGTCACGCTCCATCAGGTACATATAAACAGACAGCTAATATCTCCAACAGAGTTTGGCATGATTAGATATATGGCCTTCCTCTGTTCCACCCATCCAGCAATACGGCAGGAAAACATCTGAACAAATACACCCGTACATCCTTGGTTTCCAGCCACCAGTCTGCAGCTAGGACAGGAGCAAACCCCAGTGGGTCGTGGGGATGAAGTTGGGTCTTTGTCCTTCTTCTACATCCTTTGTCTGAGCATCTCCGAGGACGTTTTGTCTCCAAACAAGCTTCCCAACTCCTCTCACCCTGGCGGGGGTACGAGCTGCTAGCAGAAGGAGGTGTTGAAGCCAAGGGTTGATATTCGGTTGTTTTTTTGCGAGGGACGAGCGGTTGTGAGCTTCCCAACGGTCTCCAGAAGACAACAGAGTAAAGCAAACCTGTTATCGATGGGCTGAAATCCTTATGTAGGGCTTGACCTCACCCCTGGAAGTTTCTTAAGGATCTGCAAATCAAAAGAAAAAAAAAAAAAAAGGTTCAGAGCAACCGCCTCAATCGTACCCCCACCCTTCCTCGAGAAGATTCACAAGGAAATAATGAGCTGGCGCAAATAAAGCCGCCTCAGATGGCTGCAGTGAGTTCCCTCTCTCCATCCTGGCTGACACCGGCCACGCATGTGCGTCGGCAAGATCCGTAGGCCAATTCTCAAAGGCCCCACTAAGCGTTTCTTCCTGTACACCAGCCCGTTAATGCCTTACCAGCAGAATAATCATCGGTCTCATATTTCCCCAAGTACACAGTGGTCTCTGCTTCATTACAACCAGCTCATCTCCTGCAGCCCTCTGACCCCGACAACCTTGCGCTGGCGGTTCGCAATCCCTTGAGGCTCGAAAGGGCATCCTCTTTGCTGTGTCTTTATGAAGATTTTATAATATTCCCTTTGGATTTCGTGGGGGTGGACAGGCTTAGACTGAAGGGGTGGGTTTTTTCTGGCTGTTTCCCAGTGACATGGGGTGTACCTCAGTTTCCACAGACATCTGCACCACCCAGAGGAACCGTGAGCTTGCGAAAAAGATGCAAACTCCAGATTTAGCATCTTTCTCTTCTTTCAGGCAAGCAACCTAAAGGCAACTTCTCCATCGAGCACTATAGTGCCCGGCTGGCTTTTCACCTGCGCAAAGACGCTCGAAAAAGATGCTGTTTCGAGTTAACCTGCCCCGGCAAACGCACCTACGAGGTAGGAACTGCAGGAAGAAACGGACCTTCTGCGCTGGTTTGTAGCCAAAAAAGCACCCGGTCCCAGGTCTGGGGTGCAGGCTGGAGCTGCAGGGTTGGGGAGGCTGTGAATCTCCAGCCCCCCCCTGGTAAAACAAGCCAAGCAGCACCGCAGAAGGTGCCGATGCTTCTCCTTCTTGGCAGGTCATCTCAGCGTGGGCTTTCCCTTGGCACAAGAGTGATCCTGGGCTCTCTTTGCGCTTGTGGGGCGCAAGGGTTAAGGGAGAAGCAGCAGAGGATTGGGGTTTGGAAAGGCCATTTTTAAACACGCAACTCAGAGCGAGGTTAAATTTAAACTTTTGGCTTGTTGAGCGTCCAGAAGGGAGGGTAAAAACCGGGGTAAGGGAAAACCTGGCCCAGTCTGCAAAGTGCGTGTGAGAGTCTTCCTGAGCTTCAGGGAGATTTTGGATGTAGAGCCTTGGTTCAGAGTCAGTGTAGTCTGTTCAGTGGGGATTGTGGTTTTCATCTGAATTATTTTAATGAATTAGGCTTGACAGCCTTCCTCTGGGATAGTCTAGCTTTGTTCCGCTTCTGTTTCCCTGTTTGGAATAGGGAGATAAAGAAGTGACATGGCTTCCCCAAAGTCACGGGGTAGAGAATGGCAGATCCAGGATCTCCATCCCCTGTTCTACCTGCAGACCTTTTTCCTCTTCCTACACATGAGAACCAGCACAGTAACAGGTGAACCTCTCTCCAGTTCACAGCCCCAAGCCCAGCAGAGGCTGAAGACTGGGTGGATCAGATCCAGTTCCTCCTAAAGGGTGAGTCTGGCAGCTTGGCCCAAGCCAACGTGCCCTGTTTTTTTTGGGCAGATCCTGGCAGCACCTTCCCACCCAGCCTGGGCTGCTCCCTCCAGCAGTGGGTGGGCTTGTGCTCATTGCCAGGACCTTGCTGGGGTCCCGGCATCTCCTCTTAGCTGAAGAGAGGATCCAGGGCTTTGTTTTTTCGAGCAGGTGGTTAAAAAGAAGTGGTTGTTTGGAGCCCACAGGCATTTGGGTTCAACTCGAGAGCTTTTGGCTGCTTTTAGAGGATCACACAAAGGCCACAAGTGTCACCAAGTAGGACAAGGAAAGGGTGGGAATCGCTCCTTACTGCCAAGGTTGCAGATCTGCTGTTCTGTCCTTGGCTGATGAAGGATGGGGTTTGGCTCCACTGGAGTTGCTCCAGTTTGAGACCAGCAATACTGAGACAAGACTCCAGCGCTGCGTGTGGAAACCCTCTGGGAACCAGAGGCAGCTGCCCAGGAATGGGGTCAGTTCCTTGAGACACTTGTTGAATTTGGCTTTGTCCTCTGGCATTTGCCACCCTTTCGTGGGCTTTTCCTTTGGTTTAGCCTATTCTCAGCTTCCGTTTTCTTTACACCAGGTGCTCATGGGCCAAGCAAGGGGACAGTTCACTCCCTACAAGGTCCATAGTGAGCCCAAAGTACAGTGGCACAGGCTTTGCTACTTGATTTCAACTCACCGAACGTACCAGCATCCAGCTGGTACAATGATTTGCTCTTTTTCACCATGCTTTTGCTCTCTCCTGCCAGACCTGAGCTCCCTCACTATCCCATATGATGATGAAGAGGACGAAGAAGAGCCCTACAATGACGTGGACAGCTCCGACTCTGTCAACACAGCATCCCACAATACCACCCTGAATCAGGATGAGCCACATGTTGAGATGGAAGAGGATGACATCTACGAGGTTTTGCCAGGTGAGCAACCAAAACCTGAGCCATCCCCTAGCCTTAGCCCTGCAAACATGGGAGGAGACCTTGGCCACACAACACGTTGACGGGAATGAACGTCTCTGGCTCTGCTGAGGTTAATGGACCCATAAGTCAAAGATTTGACCACATTTCCTTGTTCAGGCTGGTTGATGGACCACAAGAGCAAACGCTTTCTGTTCTGGAGGAGGGTTTGTGAGTGCAGGTGAGGCAGCTTTTAGAGGTCATGCGCCGTTCAGCTCAGATAATATTAAGTTTGCCGAGAGTGGAATCTCTGGGCTGTGTTACCTGGAAAATGAGAGTTTAGATGATGAAAATGCTCCCTTCTGGGCATGCAGTCAGGGCTGTAACACAATTACTGGCCTTCCAAGAGATGATAAAATAACTGCATTAAAGACTAGGGCTTCTTCACTAACGGTGCACGTGGCCTGGAGGTAGCAGGGCAGCGGCTGCTGGCTAAAGGAGCCAGGAGCCATCTTCCTGGCACAGAACCAAAGAGCCTGCGAGGGTGACACGGTCTGCAACGTTTCTTACCTTTATAGCAGCAACCGTGGTGTGACATGCCCCGGGGCTTGGCCATCAGGTCACCCGCGCCTTCTGCAAACCCGTGTGCTGTCCTGCCTCTGCGCTGAGGTTGGGGTCACCCAGCTCTGCTCCCCAACCCCGAGAGCGGGGTCCCTTGGTGGCTGTGTTCGGAGATGCAAAATAGGTCCTCGTTTCTTCTTATTTATTTCAGAACTTTATATTTGGAGTGATTAAAAAAAATATATTAAATGCACCAGAAAGTTTTATGGCACCCCAGATCTTTGTCTTGTTATTGCTGCCAAAGGAAATGTCTGCTCAGCGGTTTGCAAGTGGCATCCAGACAGCTGCCGGGAGCAGAGCTGGGGCTCCGGGGCTGCCTGAGCAAAGCCTCAGCCTCTCTCCGTCTCTCATCTTTCCTTCACGACCTTCCCTTCCTCCGTTGACATCCTCAGCTCGTTGGGGAGCAGCTTTCTCTTCCTCCGGGTGTACCTACGGCGATCGCTGAGCTCAGCAGGAGCCTCAGCGTGGTGGCCCCCGGGGCTGGTGTGTGCGAGGCGCTGATGGTCTGTCAGGCCGAGGGCTTCCAGCATCCCCGGCTGCTTTGGCAGCTGTGCCCGACGCCTCGCTGCCAGCGCCGACTACAGAGCAGAGAGGAGACGTGAGGGTCGTTCCACACGCGGCTAAGGGCAGCGCTGGTAGGAGCTGGTTTAAGGACAGACCCCACCGTTGCTCCTTCTCCAGGGTGGAGAACATCTCCAAAGAGCTGGAGCCGACCTGCCAGCCAGGTTCACCCTTGGTCCCCGTGGGTGTTGCTCTCCTGCTCTCACGCACAGATGGGACTGGGGCTGCAGAGCATCACGGCAGAGGAGGGAACATCCCAGCCAAACCTTTCCTTTAATCACGAGCTTTTACCAGGCTCTCTGTCCTGCCCATCTCAGCTTCTTAAAAGCTCGCTAAGAGGTTCCTAAGGCAGCCCCGAGGGTTGTGCCTCAGGCTCCTCGCCAGCCCAAAGCCCGCAAGCGGCAGGATGGAAACCTCTTGCTTTTAGCAGGGATTTTGCTGTATCCTTCGGCCCCAGCGCGTGGGCATCCTGGGTGCTTCGCTGCCACGCAGGGGCTGCTGCCCCAGGGGTTTGGCCACGCCTCACG